TTTTCTTGTTTCTTGGGCAGATGAATTTTTCCCTTCCCCTTTTAATGTGCTTGGTTCTTGGGTTTATCTTTTTTCGAGTGTGTAAGCTTTATGCATCCCTTTTTGTCCCTTCCCAAAGTTTGGGGGTGGGGGGGTTTTGACATATTCAGGTTTTCCCCTTTTTCTTGTAGAGTTGAAGGGAAACCCCAAAAGGCTTTTGACATTTCATTTTTTGCTGTTGGGGTTTTGTATTGGGGGCTTTTAAAAAAAAGAGAGGGCAACAGTAATCGGGGTTTTCCCTGGTTTTTCGACCCGGAGGGAGGGTTTTGTTTTGGGACAAGTTATAAATTTTTTTTGAAAATGATTTTTTTTTCTTTTTCAGTGTTTTTCCCCCAATGATGGGGTTTTCCCCTTTTCGGTAAAAGGTTTTTTAAAGTCTTCCCGGATGTTTTGGGTCCGGTTTTTTGATGTGTTTTAGCAGGTTTTTTTGATAACCTGGGTGGGGTTTGGTTTAAACCCTTTTGTCATTCCCAGAGGATTTTTTTTTTTTTTTTTTATTTTGGTTTTTTGTTCGTGGGTTTTTTGGTCGTTGATTGTCGTTTCCCCTTTTTTGTTCTGGCTTTTTGTCCTGCTTCGTATTGGGGTTTAGGGGGGTTTTCTTGGCCCATTTCAGCCCCCGTAAAATTCCCCTCCAAAAATTTTTCAAGAATTGTATTAAAATTTGGGGCTTCACTTTCATCAAAAAAAAAACACTGCGGGTTTTAAATTTTGAAACCCTTTTTGGGGCTTTGGACAAAGGGTTTTTTATATCCCTTTTTCTTGCTCCCCTGTAGCCCACCAGAAAGCCCCCTATGGGTTTGTTTTTTTCCAAATTGGGGGCGTTTCTGATTTGGGAAAGTGGGGATAAAGGTTTTAAAACCAAAAAAAACTTGATGTGTCCTACATTAGGGGGTTTTAAATTTATTCCCCAATTTTATTTTGGGGGTACTTTTAATGCTTTTTATGGGGGGCCTTTTTTTGGGAGGTATGTTGTTGGGCATTATTGCTTTTTTCCCCAGTATTTGTTAGGGAAAAAGGGAGCGTTCCCCTAATTTATAAAAATTTTTTCTTTCAAAAAGAGTTTGGGTTTTTTCTTTTTACTAACCCGGTTTTTTTTCAGGAGTGTTTTGGTACAGTTGTTTGGGGTTTTAATACCTTGTTTCTTTTTGGGTTTATTTTTATTTTCTTTTTTTTTCCAAAATTCTCCTCCAATTTTTAGTGCGTATTTTTTTTCCAGGTTTCCCTTTTAAACCCTTTTTGCTTTTTCATTTGCTAAAAAAACCCTTTGAAAGGGTTTTCTAATGTTCCCCTTTTTTTGTTTCATTTTGATTCCCTTGTTGTGTCCTGGAATAAAACGGGCAATTTAAAATCAGTAAATATCTGGGCCCCCCCCAGGTGTGTGGTTTTTTATTGGTCCGCCAAAATTTAAGGGGTATCAGTTCCATGGGTTTAAAAGGGTTTTACCCTTTATGGTCTGTGGAAGGAAAGGTTTTGGGGTGGGCCTTTTTCTTTGATGCAAAAACGGGTTGGGAAATTGTGAGTTTGTGGCAAGGCAAAAATTTTTTATGTCTTCTGATAGAAACCCCTTTTTTGGGAAAGGTTCCCTTTTTTGGGTTCTGGGGTTTTTGAGGCCCCAAAACTTTTTATGCCAAAAGGGGGGGATGCACCTTTTTTTTTTTTTTTTTTTTCATTTTTTTTGGGTTATTTAGTTGCCGCATTAGCCTTTTCCCCCTTTTAGGGACGAGTTTGTACGATGGTTTTTTTGTAATCTTTCCCCTTTTTAGGGTTTTTCTTTTTCCCTTTTGAAATTTTGCATTTTTTTCCCCTTTAACTGGGGCAGTGAGTACCCTTGCTTGCAGGGGGTTTCTTAAAGATTTGGAGGTTTTCCCTTTTAGGTTGGGAAAAAATTTTTAAAATTTTTTAAAAAGGGATGCTCTGCTTGCCCCCCGATGGGTTTTTTCAGTTTCAGAAATCCCCCGACCCTTTACCCTTTTTGCTGTAAAAAATTTTCCCATTTGCTAGGGAAAGGGGCTTTATCTTTTACACTAAAATCAATTTTGTGAAAAAAATGTCTTTGTGTTTTTATGGACTTTTTTTTGGGCCCCCGAAAACAAAAAGTACCCCTCTGTGTGAGGGGACTATTTTGGTGTCACTTTAAAAGTTCCACTCCCCTGATTTCCCCTTTTAAATTTTTTTTCATGACCACTTTGTCTTTCTCCCTTTTGGGTTTGCTTTCCCGGGTTTCGCTGCTCAGCTTTCCAGAAATTTAAAAAGTTCTTTTTCAGGTGACCCGGGCCCTTTTTTCGCGAAAAAACACCTGGGGTTTTTTGCTTTGTATTCTGCCTTCATGCACCCTTTAGAAACTGGGCCCTTTGGGCTCTCGTTTTCTTCACTATGCAAAATTTTTTTTTTCCCCTTTTTGCTTTTATTCATCAAATTAAAATTTTTCCCCCTTTAAAATTTTTTCTAGCGTTGTTTCAGTTTTGGGTTTTTAGGGTTTTTTGGGGCATTTTAAAAAAGGGCACTGTTGATTCTGGAAGGCTGCATAGTTAGTTTTTTGAAAAGCCCAAAATGGGTTGGTTTTTTTTTTTTCACCCCATTGCACCCAAATTTGGTTTCCCCAATTTCTAATTGCTTTTACATTTTTCCCCCCATTTTCCCGGGGCCCCCTTTTTCCCGCCCCCATTTTTTTAAGTTTGCGTGGGAGAAAATTTGTTTTCTGTTTTTGGTTTGCAGTTCATGCCCGTTTTTGTAACGGGGGTTTCCCCATTACCCCTTTTTTTTGTGCTTTCCCTTTTCCCTTTTTATGGGAAAGACTGATCGTTTCCTTTCCTTAAAAGGTTATGATGCTTTTTTCTTGCTGTTTTTTCCCGTTTTTCCCTTTTTTCCCGGGGTTTTCAAATTTTGGGGTTTTGTGTGTATTTTTTAGTACCTGCCACAAGTCATTTTTGGATAACGGCATTTCAAACTTTTAAAAATTCCATGGGTGGTAGTTTGGGGATTGTTGGCTTTTGCTATTGTAAACTTCATATCTGGGGAAACATTGCCCCTTTTTAGTGAATTGGATTTTTGTTTTTGTCTCCTCACCCCAGGATTTTTGGGAGGATTGGAAAATTTCAGCATTGCTTTTTTAGTTTTCCTTTTTCCGTGTTGGGGGCTGGGGCCCAAAACCCGGGTTTGGTTTTTGTGTTAGAGAAGGGGCACTGTTTGTGATGAGGCAAAAAACTATGCTTTCCGGGGCTTAAGTGCCCAAAAATTTAAAAGAGGCCCATTTCCCGCCCGGGACTTTTAAAAGGGGGCCCTTTTTTTACTTTTTGAAGAGAGAAAAAGAGAAGAGAGGAAACCCAAAAAGTCTTTTCAACATTTGCAAAACTAGGGGAAACCCTTTTTTTTGTGTTTTTTTTGATTTGGTGGTTTAGGTTTGTGTTTGGTACCTTTTTTTTTTTTTTTTTGTACTGTTTGAACAGCAGAGATTATGCTGGATGGTTATTTCACTGTTCTAAATAAGTCATCTAGAAAGGTGAAAATATTTTATTCTGTAAAGTGGTTATAAGGAAGGACATTCTAGTACCTCAAAGCCGTATTAAACCCAAATGGGAAACATTTGTTATATTGCAGCTTACCCAATTCTTAGACGTGACGGCTGCATTGGTTTTATTTTTTAGGCTTTTCATTCTTCTATTTTATACTGGTGATCCTGCCAGTATGTCTGTTGTTTTTCAAAGGAACAAGCTCTCTTCCAGATATAGCGGTTACAGGGACGAGACAAACCATCTGCCAATGACAGGGGTGATTACAATACTCAGCTTTTATTTTATGTAAAAACTTTATCCTAAAAGGGAAAGCATGTTTGGTGTAACTGCTTGGAGTTTGGCTTCAATTTGTTAGTGTATTTAAATCTGCTAGTCCATTTAACACTCCCCCTCCCCCCAGACAGATAATGCTGCTGTCCAAAGGTTCCCCCTGTGCTCCTTCCTCCAGAGTGGGGGCGCTCTAATACAGGAGGAGTGTTACTGACCAGCAGTGCCGGGACAAGATCATCTAGAGCCCAGGATGAACATGCTGAATTGTGCCCCCCCCCCCAAGATGTATGAGCATTATGTGTTAGCAAAAATCCCCTCCACCACAAAAAAATGGACTAATCTGCCTGCTTATTCCCTAAGCATTCCCCTCCTCCCAGTACAAATCTGCTCCTTGCAGAAATCCCCTTCCCAGAACAAATATTTGCCCCCCCCCAAGCTCAAATCCACTCATTCCTCATATGCCCCCAGCACAAATTCCCCCCGCCCTAGTACAAAACATCTACCTTTCAGCTCAAATTTCATTTCTGAGCACAAATTCTCTCCCCCCAAAAAACAAATGCCACTCCAAACCTTCTTTTGGTGCCCCCCCCCACCTCACATGATATCACAGTGCCCAGGGCATCCACCCCCCTGCCCACCCCTTGTCCCAGCCCTGCGGAACAGATCACCAGGTGTAAACAGAGAGGAAAAAAACGTAAAAAATAAAAACAAATGTTTTTATATGTGTTGTTTTATATATTCCATGCAATTTAAGGTTTTAGATTCCACTTTTAGGCATTTTATCTCGTCTCTATTTTTGTGCCATTTTATGTTCTGGGATTTGATTATTGTGTGCTGACATTTTATTGTACATTTTATTGTCCAATTTTCATCTTTGACGTTTCAATAAAGTTTTGTTGAATCCTTGAAGTGTTCGGTTTAGTATTTTGAAGCGTTCATTTTCAGGCTTTGGTTACAATGTATGTAAAGCCTTCTTTTTTTTTTAGTTTTGATAGAGTAGGGAAGGGTAGAACCTCGCTCAGTTTTTTTTGTTTTTTTTACATATTTTCATTTTTTGTTCACAGTGACACAAGGAAATCTCTCCGAGGGCAGAGGAATCCCCCTCTAATGCAGGCCATAGATGGGTCGAAAATCGGCCGATTTTTCGGCCGAAAATAAAATCGGCCGATTTTCGGATCGTTAGTGGGCTATTTGTTTGGCCGTTTTTCGGTATTTTGGCCGTTTTTTTTTTATCGGTAAAGTTTGAAAAAAAAAATCGGCCGATTTTGCCGATCAGCCGATTTTCGCGGCAATGATGGGCAAATCGGCCGATTTTTTTACCGATAAAAAATCTGCGCATGAGCAGTTACCTGCAAGAGGAAGACAAAAAGAAGAAAAAGAAGAAAAGGAAGAAGAAGAGGATGAAGATGATGATGAAGAAGAGGGTGATGATGAAGAAGAAGAAGAGGATGATGATGAAGAAGAAGAAGAAAAAGAGGATGATGATGATGAAGAAGAAGAGGATGATGATGATGAAGAAAAAGGAGAAGAAGAAGAGGATGATGATGAAGAAGAGGAAGAAGAAGTAGAAGAAGAGGATGATGATGAAGAAGAGGAAGAAGAAGTAGAAGAAGAGGATGATGATGATGACGAAGAAGGAGAAGAAGAAGAAGAGGATGATGATGATGATGATGATGATGATGAAGAGGATGATGATGATGATGATGAAGAAGAAGAGGGTGATGATGATGATGATGAAGAAGAGGATGATGAAGAAGAAGAAGAGGATGACAATGAAGAACAAGAAGAAGAGGATGATGATGATGAAGAACAAGAAGAAGAGGGTGAGGATGATGAAGAAGAAGAAGAAGAAGAAGAGGATGATGATGAAGAAGATACATTGTTGCAACCTCTGTAAATGTCAAGGAACTGTCAAAGAAATAGCGGAGCTCTCTGCAGGGACACTTTTTTGCCGGCTGTAGACAGGAAGAAAATCAGCCGATTTTTTTTACCATTGATGGTAACGTCGGCCGCTTGAATGACCGATTTTTCATTTTTTTAAAAGAAAAATCTGCCGTTTTTCTCCCCGTCTATGGCCTGCATTAGTTTAGGTGTCACTGAACACATGGGGGGGGGAGATTTATGAAAACTGGAGCACTCAGAATCTGGTGCAGCTGTGCATGAGAGCCAATCAGCTTCTAGCTTCTTCTTGCTCAATTAACCCCTTTGATCCTAAGGGTAAAACAAATGTTAATGCCTAAGCACAATTTTGCAACTTTGACATGTGTTAGTGAAACCGTACATATCATCACTACTACTGTGTGCATCCAGGTGGCTTATACCGCAGTTTTTTTCAGGAAAAATTGCGCTTTCATTTGATGGTAAATGGTAACGGATATCTCCTGATATTTTTTATTATTATCGAAGAAAACTGGCCCAAAAATAGTAAAATACATTTTTTTTTAATTTAGCTGGATATTTCCTGCTACTACCATAACCCATCACCAAAGAACAACCCAAAATAAATTCTCCTGCTCCTGACGATCGCAGTGATACCACATGTGTGTATGTTAGTTGTGTTTGTACCCGTAGTACAGCCTAGAATCAACAGTGCGCATTCTGATTTTTTATCCTACATAAAACACACCGACACTAACTGACACTGACACTAACTGACACTGATACTGCTTTAGAAAAAAAAATCCTGCTCAAAAAAATACTGACCCTGACCTTGACCCAAACACTAACCCTGGTACTGGCTGAGGTTTGACAAACCTCCATCTAGGTTTTTGTTTTTTAAATTATTTTTTTTTATAATATTTATTACACACAGTTGTTGTTGTTTTTTCTCTCTTCAAGGAGAGAGGTAGATAAAATGTATCTCTCCTACATTCAGAGAGAATAAACACGGGGGTGGGCTTTACAATGACTGATCATGTGATAGCCAATCAAAGGCCATCACAGCAATCAGTTGACCTGGAATCATTCTTTGCTGGGAGCGTGCTGCATTTAGAGGAGGGGCGGAGCTTCCCCCTCCAAACCTGCTGGCAGTGCCCCGCATCCTCCTGATGTAAGGTATTAGGGGCTCTGGGGAGTGGACCCTCATGGAAGGATGGGGGGGGCTCTGGGGACCCTGATGTAAGCAGAGGGACTCTGTGGACCCTGTTGTAAACGGGGAAAACTCTGGGGACCCTGACGGAAGGAGGGTACCTTGATGTAAGTTGGGGGTGAATATAGGGACCTTGATGTAAGGAGCAATGTCCTTGGAACCCCGATGGGGAGTGGACCTTATGTAAGGAAGTAGGGGCTTTGGAGAATGGACCCTGAGGTAAAGAAGGGAGGGGGCTCTTTGGAGTGGACCCTGATGGAAGGAAAGGGGCTCTGGGAAGCCTGATAGAAGGAAGGGGGAACAGGGGAGTCTGATGGAATGAAAGGGAGCCTGGAGACCCTGATGGAAGGGGGGATTGCACTGGGAACCCCAATGTAAGGAGGGGCCTTGAGGACCCTGATGTAGGGAGGAGGGGGGACCCTGATTTAACCAGGTAAACTCTGAAGACTTGGGGACCTTGTTATTTTGGGTGGCTCTGGGGGTCCTGACCTAAGGGGGTAACTCGAGGGACTCTGATATTAGGGGGGACTCTGAGGGGGAACACTGATGGGGATTCTTAATGTAAACCGAGTTTCTTGTCTTCCCCCAGCCCGAACCCCACCCCCCATTGACTTCTCCATCACATCCAACAACGCCAATATCAAACCCGCCCTGCAGGCCAGAGTACTGGGTGTCATTCTGGACTCCAACCTATCCTTCCAGCCCCAAGTCCAATCTTTAACAAACTCATGCAGACTCCACCTCCGCAACATCGCCAAAATCTGCACGTTCCTAACCCCAGAAACCACTAAACAGCTCATCCACTCCATCATCATATCACGACTCGACTACTGCAACTCCCTCCTCACACTGGCCTGCCTCGCCGCTGGCTATCCCCGCTTCAGTCGATCCTGAATACGGCTGCCAGACTCATTCACCTTTCCAAACCGCTCCGTTTCCGCCACCCCCCTCTGCCAATCCCTCCACTGGCTTCCGATTGCGCAACGGATCAAATTCAAAATCCTATCACTGACGTACAAAGCCGTCCACCATACTGCCCCGAACTACATCACCGACCTAATATCCAAGTACCGCCCAGCACGCACACTCCGCTCCTCACAAGACCTCCTTCTCTCTAGTTCCCTGGTCTCCTCCTCCCATGCCCGCCTCCAGGACTTCTCCAGGGTGTCACCCATCCTCTGGAACTCCCTTCCCCAACCCATCAGATTATCACCTACTCTCCTCTCCTTTAGGCGCACCCTGAAAACCCATCTCTTCAGGGAAGCCTACCCCCTGCTAACCTGACCGACCTCCTCCACTCTTCCTACCACTCCATCCCCCACAGCTATCTCCTCCTGTACCACTATCCCGTCCCTTCTAGATTGTAAGCTCGAAAGAGCAGGGCCCTCGATCCCCTCATGTTTTGCATTGTATTGGTATTGTTCTGTCACATGTTCTGTCCCCCTTTGTAATGTACAGCACTGAGTGAACTATTGGCGCTTTATAAATACTGTATAATAATAATAATAATAATGTAAGGGGGTGATCATCCACTCCCACGAGTTCCTCCAACTGTTAGACAAAATCTGTCCTCTGTGTCACTTACTACTGACCTCTGAACTTTGCTTCCCTTACTACTGGCCCCTGTCCTTCGCTCTGCTGACCCCTGTCCTCTGCCCAGCAGACCCAGTACACTGCCCTTCTGACCCCCTGTCCTCCACCCAGCAGACCCAGTACACTGCCCTTCTGACCCCCTGTCCTCCACCCAGCAGACCCAGTACACTGCCCTTCTGACCCCTGTCCTCCACCCAGCAGATCCAGTACACTGCCCTTCTGACCCCTGTCCTCCACCCAGCAGACCAGTACACTGCCCTTCTGACCCCTGTCCTCCACCCAGCAGACCCAGTACACTGCCCTTCTGACCCCTGTCTTACACCCTTCTGGCCCCTGTACACTGCAATAGAAACAGCTGACCCCTGTATACTGCTCAGCTGAACTCCCATCCTCAGCCACCCTTACAGTATCTACTGCACCCCCACATCAAACAGACTAGATCCGGCTCTGATCAGATTCCTCTTTTTTACTCTCCAACCATCACTCGAAACAAATGAAATCTGATTGGCTGATAAGGGCAACACAGAAAACTTTCCTTTCACCCAATTTATAGACACGGGACCCAAAGTAAATGTTATTTTACCTGTTATAGGCAGATATAAATCACCATCAGACCACCGAGCAATGAGGAGGCCATAGAGATGTACAGATCCCATTTCATGGAAGATCAGAGATAATATTTGTTAGTTATCACTGTTTGTGATGTCACGGCATTGCTGTCTTTTATTTAAGATGATAATATGTGATTGTATATATAAAAAACTTCAGTAAGATCCAGAATCCCCATTAAAAGGTCAGAAAATTATGTATTGTGGGATCTGGCCGTTCCTAACCTCGGAAACCACTAAGCAGCTTATTCATTCCCTTGTTATATCTCGCCTTGATTATTGTAACTCCCTCCTCATTGGCTGACCTCATCGCAGGCTATCCCCTCTTCAGTCTATCATGAATGCTGCTGCCAGACTCATCCACCTTACTAACTGCTCTGTATCTGCCACCCCTCTCTGCCAATCCCTCCACTGGTCTCCACTCAGTGTCCTCCACCCCTCTCTGCCAATCCCTCCACTGGCTTCCACTCAGTGTCCTCCACCCCTATCTGCCAATCCCTCCACTGGCTTTCAGTTGCCCAACGGATAAAATTTAAAACATTAACAATAGCGTAAAAAGCCGTTCATAACACTGCCGCAAATTACATCACCAATCTTGTCTCCAAATATCACGGAAACCGTACTCTCCTCGCAAGACCTCCTACTTTCTAGCTTCCTTATCTCCTCCTCCTATATTCATCTCCAGGATTTCTCCAGAGCTTCCCCAGTCTCGGGAACTCTCTACCCCAATTTATCAGACTATCGCCTACTCTGCTCACTTCTAGGCGATCTCTGAAAACCTATCTCTTCAGGGTAGCCTATCCTGCCCTCAGCTAATAATGGAATCTTCTACTCTTCCAACCAGTCCATCCCCCACCGTTACTACCTTTTGTACCACTAGCCCCTCCCTCCTAGATTGTAAACTCCAAGGAGCAGGGCCCTCCTATCCCTCTTGTATTGTTGCTGTATTGTCTCCCGTTATATTTGTAAAGCGCTGAGCAAACTGTTGGTGCTATATAAATCTTGTATAATAATAATAATCTGTCATTTCAGAATGAGACTTCCATAATGTCTCCTATTGGTGGCTGAAAAACCATTCCTTGAAGATGTAAATTAATAAAATACCCCATGTGGGCCGGGTGATGGTCAACTTGAACGGCCATCTGCAAATCCTGCATCGCCTTCCTGCTACTGATTGCAGCATTGGACACAAAGTGAAATGAGTGTTACCCAACACTTACGGGTCTATTTATGAAACAATTTGCATAGCCATTGGTCCAGTGGATCTCCATGTACATTTGTTCTGTGTTCAAATGTTCTTTAACCACATCACCTCTCACACCTGTTCACCCCCTATGGACCAGAGAGCAATGTTTACATTTCTGCTATGGGCTTGTTCATTCAGCAATAACAAGGCTTTCTTTTCATGATATTGTCTAGCAACAATGATTTTTCCCCAGTCCTTAGACAATAAAACACAACAAAACTGAAAATTAATAGTGGGTGTATGCTACAGGCCCCCTAACTTGAAGGATGAGGAGGAGTTTCAC